ATTGGGGCGCGATTGCAAATGACGAAGACGTAACCTCAGAAAATCATGAGGGTCGCATCGCCTCCATCTCCCTCCTATCAGGGCGCGAGCCGAAGGAAGTGCTCCACATTTGTATGGGCTTTTAAACTTAAATGGCCATTTTGGAGATCATTCGGTGCAGTTCACAGCACTGCCCTTCTTAACGCCTAACGCCTTCTAGTTTCTGAGCTACGCGCCTGGGAAAATGTGCAGGCTATTTCGTGCGGACTATAACAAGGTCGCGCAAGTATCTATAACGCCATAATAATGTCATTTGGATCATGGCATACCATTGGCCATGCGACGATCAATGCAAAAAAATCGTTGAGTTGCATGTCTAGAGTAGTTTTGCCACTTAATAGTAGATCAGTTACTTAGAACTAAGCTTTTTTAATATGTGATGCTCGCTTCAGCATCTTTAAATGTGGAACACTCAACTTTGTTGTAATTTTCACAATTTTGTAGTGCCGTTACACACTTTCGCAACCAACGTTGGCTTTCCTTGGCTGCTCACTGGCGTCGCTCTGGGCCAGGCAACGTTGAGCTCGCCTGAGGTCTTGCAAACGCTACATTGTTCTGTACCATGCACTTGATTTTCCCCTGTATCGCCTGCTTACATGAGCGGCCTGAGGGGCGCACGTGGCTGGTTGCATGCGTGGACCCACGCCAGGAAACAGGTTGTACGCTCTGTCTCTCGTCAAGCGGTGATGATAGTGTCGTAGCGACCCTTGTGGAAATCGCAACCGTTTTTTACGTGTTCATCGTTTTTCGCCGGTGACAATTTTTTTTCGTAAATCCGATGTCAAATTGTTATCCACCTAAAATTTGGTGGGTAAATGCTGCCCACGGTTATGCTACAGTTTTACAGCCAGCAAGCATGTTGCGTGCAAACATCTTGAATTGGTAAGGTCGTAAATTTGAAGGAACTATGTCGTTTGTCGTGGAGCACTTCCTGATCCCATAAACGGTTGTTGCAAAGGCATAAGCGCTATAATGCATGCTTGTCGGAAGTGGGCCACTGAAGCCGTTTTTCCAGCTAGATGACATTACATCAAGGCACAGGCTCAGGTCTTGCTCCTATAAGGTGTAATCCGTGTTTGCATAGCCGTTGTGATGCACTAACGGTTATCGCGATTTGGTTATAATCGATGCACGTCTTTTTTCGGTTGCACGGTTATCCTGAATGACATGTCCATTGTCAGTGAGATGAATTCGTGCTATTGTGTGCATTGCCATGTAGCCATTGGGCGGCGTTTTTATTCCGTGTATTGGTATCATTCATATTGTTTTGTGGTGTGACCTTACTTTGCGCCGCTTACCCTTCGCGTTTTTTGTTGTTGTAGGATTTTGATCATTTTCCCTTGTAGTAACACTCGTTTGTTTTGGTCTTTATTGTGGTTTTGTATCCAAGAGCAGCACTGAACAAGCGCCAACGCCGGTGGATTCCTCTGCGAATTGCTGGTGAAATGTGATGGATCCGCCCAGTCCAGTGTGCCTTAGGTAGTGTGACGTTCTATGAGGCGACCAGAACGTCACGTGCATTTGTATTGTATCTTTATGCATGTGGACTTTTTCGGAAGTTTCGTACGGTTTGTTTTCAATCATGTTTCTTGAACCTGTTTTGAACATTGGTTTAGTTTTGTGACATCTGCACCATTCAAAAATCCTGGTTGGAAAAGATGTCTCCAGCCGTCTCTGCAGCTCAGTCTGTCGAGCGTTGTACACTGATCACTGTGTAGTAGACACGCTGGTTCGGGCCTCCGATATCGTGTTTGTGGTATTCTTTTCAACGGTCAGCTGAACTGACAACTAGTCAAGAGAGGTAGGCTGAAGCGGGTAGCCGTCCCATGGCATCGATATGTTTCGTTACACGTGCCCGCGTGGCCGGTTGAATGCAATACGTTCCGATGGAGGTTTGAGTCCATTTGACCCCCATGCGATGCAGATCCAAAGGAAATGAATACACCAAATTCACAACGTACGTAGGGATCTATGTAAATTCATTTGTGTCCAACTTGCGGATCTCTAGGCTGTGACCTTCAGGTCCTAGAAGGTAAAACGAGGGCGAACGCCGTATCCCATAACATGATCAGAACGCACAAATCCGCCTGCTAGAAGGAAAATCGACAGCGAGATGAAGCCTGCCGCACTCGTGTTGACCGCTTTTTACCAGTACCCGCGCTAACGCAAACAGTATCCCCACCAGACCCTATTCTGGCTTCAGCACTGGCCGGCACAGACACCGGAGCAGGGGGCACCGGATCTTCGTTACGCGAGTCTGAGCTCACCGCAGCAGATTTCTTACTGCTTGCGTGCTAGCTAAACTTGTGATGATCTTGCTCCTGCCAGTGTTTCTCGCGAATCAGAGAAAGATATCTCAAGTAACAGATGATTGGTGAGGCCCGGATGGCATGTTTGTAGAAGGAAGCAGTGAATCGCGTTACGGATTCTATGCATGGTTTGTGTTCCGACGGAACAGATGACATGTGGTGAATGAGGTCTTTCCTTAGAATTATTGAGAGTCTTTGCTGCCGTGAGATACAGCTGCTATATCACAGCGCGAGTTCCTTTAAACGCTCGTAGTTCTCATTGGTTAATGTAAACATATCGGTGTGAGATGTAACACGCTGATAGTTACGCAGTTGATGCACATCCGTGCAGGTTGCATTATACACTACAGAGTATTATTTAATTCTAGTACATCTTCAAAAAGCATCATTACTGTGTACAACTTGCCCTATATAGTTCGCGATGAAACCTTAGCAGACGATGACGCTTGCGCTTGATACCAGCCTACGGTGAGCGCAGACCAATTGGCACCGGGGAGTCATTTGGTTGGCGTATTAATGCAAAACGTTAAAAAGTCAAAGCTCTCGTTCAATGTGCGGTAAGACGACATGAAAAGTACTAGCATGGAAATCAACGCACTAATGCTAATGCGACATGATTTCAAACATATTTGCTTAAAATGTACTTGTTGCATTGAGCAGTCAGTTGCAAAAATTGGATATTCTTTTCATCGCGGGCTTGTAACCGCGACTGGTTTAGTACAGACGAAGTGTAATTGCACAGTGAGAGTCACAGGACTGCGACCTAGCATAGGCCTGCTACTGACCAGAGTCCAGCCGGGTTTACTCGGTGCGCGGCGGGCCGGTGAGGGACGCTGGCACGGCGCGGCGGCCGGGACCCGGGACGAAACTCACTGAGCAGAAAACTGCGTTTCGTACGTATATAACGCTAACAGCCTGGGGTGCTGGCAGAAGTCACGTAGCCTTGGTGAAGGATGGTGAGCTCCGCATACAAGGATACTGGCTATTGTCCCAGAAAGTGGAACACTACGTCTCACTGTTTCGTCAAGGTCTGATGTAGTTACATTGCCAATTTAAGTCAGAAGAATTTGTGCTTCGTTTTAACCTACGCTACGGGTTATGTTTTTATTTTGTTGAACGAGACGAGTGTGTCGTGTGTTTCGAAGTGCAAACGTGTTTTTTATTTACTGGGAGTTGTGTGTCGCATTCATCAAAGTAGTGGTTAAAAATGTACGATGTAATAATGGGATAGTCGATTGGGCTATGGGGAGGCAAATGATGAGAAGGACGAACATTTGAGCCTACATTGTGTGTGACGAACAGTACTTAATGACTAGTGCAAGTTGTTGCTGACTGCGCACAGGCAGTAGCCGAACATCGGTTGACACTAAAATACTTCTGCTCGCAGGCTGAGTGTGGCTGATTGTGGTGGTGGTGGGAGGTTACCGCTGCGCATATGCGCATATGCGGCGGCCAAGCATAAGCGAATGTTAAAATGTCTGCTCACGGACGAGGTGGCAATGGTGACAACATGTGATGGGGTAAAACGCTATCCTAGTTATGTACATTTTCTCCGAGGTGCACAAAGTATATTTCGCTTGCACATGAATTTACAATGCTAAAAATATTTATTTTTGCCTTTCTAGCACTTGTGCCACGATTTTGTTGCGATGGCAGCCTGTCTGCTATCCAGAAGCAAGAAGGCTAAAATGTTATGTTAACTAATGGCTCTTAGGCCTTCCTGCCTTTAGACGGCAGATGTGCCTAAACAAATCTACATTATTTTCCTTCTTACTGTCAACTTTTGATGTATTATATGTCTGAATTATATCGGTTAATTACGCGTCGCGCCACGGCAAGAAACCTTCACTTATTTGATAGCTTTGCAGCAGATTCTCTCTACGAGTGGTGTTTTTTATTTACAGGAATATCCGCACGTCCGCAATGACCGCTGGATGGCAGCGCGGTCTGGGCGCGATCCGTGGCCTTGAACTAGCCTAAGCAGCAAGTGCGGCCGGTCACCGGGGCCGCCCGGTGTTACCTGTTCGCCGGCCGCAGGGACGTACCCAATGGGAGAGCCAAAGGAGCCTCCTCTGCCCCGGGCCATGGGGTGTACATTAGATAATGGACAGGAGGCTGGTCCAAGCCTCGGAGGAGGATGGTCTAAGCTTACAGGATTTAGGTGTGTCTTCCCCCGGGGAAATTTAGGCCACGTGCCTGGTCTGTCGTCACAAACTGACGTAACGACGGAGGCCTTCCGGCCGCCTGCTTAGTACCTGGATTATGTGGCACCATCCTGTCTGATAACGACCCTGTAGCTTTACGCCAAACGATCGGCTCCCAAGTAAATAAGTGACGCGAAATCCAGTCAGAGACGCCTCAAACCCAGACGGAAAGAACCCCTAACCCACACGAATAGACCCCTACGCTCGGCTCCCTTTCCCAATCCTTCGTAAAGTCATGCCCCAAACTTAAACGGGGAGGACCCCAAGCCGAGGTAGAGGGGCGCACCAGACTCCGAGCAAATCAGCATCCAGCAAGGACTTGGCTCGTCTGCAGCAGGTCGCGATGTTCCGGCGATGCCCCACCGTCCGGGCGCCGGCGTCGCCCCTGTCGGCGGCGCCCCGGCCGGGCCGGGCCGTGTATCGTCTGTGCATCAGTGCCGCGGGCGGCCGGCGGCCGGCCGGTCCGGCCGGACCCCGTCTCGCGCAGTGTGCTGACGGAGGCTGGCGCCTACTGCGCCGCCATGATACGCTGCAGTGGTCTCCTGGGCGTGTGTTTGAGGCGGTCCCAGCCGCCTCCCGCCGCCCGCTCCGTCTCTATCGGCGTCATCGGAGCCGCCTTCGACAAGGGTCAGGTCAGTGCTCCCAACAGACGCCAGGTCGGCCAAGTGATACCACAGCTCAGCAGTTGACTCTAGATACTTGCCTCACCTTCCCTGGCCCACCTCCCGATGTGATGACGCATGTACCTCCACCGTGGAAGCCATCCACACATTACGCAGTGCCTTTCCCAGACCGCTCAGCCCCCCCTACGTGGCTCACGGTCGTGGCGCGCGCCCTACGCCGCGGCTTCAATACTGCGCAACAGCTGTCCGGGCCACCTTACAACTGGCTTTTAGACCTTAATTTAAGTGAGCTTTGCCACATGTGGAAGTGGTTTTGAACTAAGACAACCGTGTGTATAATCCTTTCTTGCAATTCACAGCCATGTCTTTAAGGCTTAGAATCCTGTTTCGGAGCTAGGTGCTCGTATATTTATGCGGCCTACAACGCGCCGTCTATGGGCTGTCACCCAAACATGTGTGGCGTCATAGACATGCCACACGAGCACCCCATCTCATTACACGTGTTGTGGTCATGGTCAAGACAAGTACGGTCACTGAAACATTGGTGTTTGCGGGGATGCGGCACCAAGTGTCACGACTGAAGGCAGGAGGGAGGGAGGCGCGTAGAAGTACCACAAGTGAGTCACGTCGTCCGGTTCAGCGGCAACTTTGACACGGGAACCCTGGCAGGGATGCTTACGTCAGAAAAACATTCCATCACGTAGTCGAAGGCTGTCAGATTTCGCTGCTGATGGCATGCCCCGATCATGTACCGTGTGTAGCCATAAATAGCAGGGCTAATTGGGCAACTGTTAGATATGACGAGCATGAGACTGATAATAAATTAGCCGCAGAGTAGCACCCTAGCAGAAAATGTACGTGGAGAAGGTGCTATTGCGCAAAAATATGCATGAACTCCACGAGAAGAGTCCGAAGCACACGTGCATACACTCGCTTGATGAATATGCACCCAAGAAAGCAACGCCACCATGCGGCGCATATAGGAACCACAATACTTGCATTTGTTTGCTTGAAATCCATCCATGAGATGGCGCTTCAGGCCTTCGGCGAGCCACAACACAAGCAAAATTATAATGAATTGTGATGCTACCAAATATGCTATAAAATACAATATCACGAAGCATTCTCTAACATACGATACTATAAAATATCATACGATCAAATATGATATGACAAAATACGATACGAAAAATACCATACCACGAATTACGTACGAAGCCAAAACGACAAATCCAACAAATGATCTCAACTGACGACAGAATATACCAAACCTACAGTGCACACACAAAGATGAATGGAAATAAATTGTAAACACATGGGATCCGCGTTGAATCGCAGAGATCAGGCACGTGCATACATGTGGCGTGCAATTACACAGGTCACCAGCATAGGCTGAAAACTTGGCGCATGATATGACATTTGCGTTTTGAGGTGCGATTTTTTAATCTGTCGGAGATGAAAAGATAGTGTTGGTCGGAGGCAGGCGGTCCGAAGTTGCCTCGGCAAGATAAGGAAAGGCTCGCTGGTGGCTTTCGAACGGCACCTGGGCAGGTGGAAAGACATTAACATGGAGGAATGCATCTCTCTTATTGAAAGAGGAACGCGGCTTGAAGGGAGATTGGACGGCCTGGGACGACTCTTTGCATCTTAGCGCTTTGAATACTTCCAGCACGGCCCTCCCTTTCACCAAGTCATCAACCCGGGCCAGCCCACCCAGTTCCAGAGTTGGTGTTATATGCTGGCTACGTTTCATGCCATAGATAATCCTGGCAGCAAAATATAGAACTTTTGAATACTCCGCACCTGACACTTGATCATGCTAACCCGATAATAACTTCGAGAGAATCAGGTGTAAAGTAATATAAGGCGGTGCAGGTGAGTGGTCGTCCGCTATAGTGGTAACGCAGACGCGGGGACTTTGGCTGCGATCGCACTATGGTAACGCAGACGCGGAGACTTTAGCAAGGATCTTATAGTGGTAACGCAGACACGGAAACTTTGGCAGCGATCGCACAGTGGTAACGCAGACGCGAAGACTTTGGCAACGATCGTACAGTGGTAACGCAGACGCGGAGACTTTGGCAGCGATCGCACTATGGTAACGCAGACGCGGAGACTTTGGCAGCGATCGCACAGTGGTAACGCAGACTCGGAAACTTTGGCAGCGATCTGACAGTGGTAACGCAGACGCGGAAACTTTGGCAGCGATCATACAGTGGTAGCGCAGACGCGGAGACTTTGGCAGCGATCGCACAGTGGTAACGCAGACATGGAAACTTTGGCAGCGATCGTACAGTGGTAATGCAGACGCGGAGACTTTGGCAGCGATCGCAAGTGGTAACACAGACGCGGAGACTTTGGCAGCGATCGCACAGTGGTATCGCAGACGCGGATACTTTGGCAGCGATCTTACAGTGGTAACGCGGACTCGGAAACTTTGGCAGCGATCGTGCAGTGGTAACGCAGACTCGGAAACTTTGGCAGCGATCGTACAGTGGTAACGCAGACTCGGAAACTTTGGCAGCGATCTTGCAGTGGTAACGCAGACGCGGAAACTTTGGCAGTAATCGTAACACCATAAAACGTTCCATGACGTTATTAAACGATGACTTAATGTGAGTCATATGTACTTATTTGTGGAATTTTGTGTTTGGAGTAGTCTTCTGCACCAATATTAACATACCAATAGTAGTAGGTAGTCGAACACCGCAAGTTCGGCTCTCCAAGTTGGCACTTCAGGGGTTATACTTAGACATATCTTAGCACCGCCATCACCCCTATTTATAAAACGGCTCCAAAAAGTACATTGGCATATTTTCGAAATGTTTCTTGCGGGCACGAGGAAGCACTTTTGTCCACTTGTGGCTGGCGCACGCGGCCTGCCTCGGCCAAGCAGGGCGTCGCGAGGGTGCATGATAGAGCGAGAGAGAGATGAAGGGTGCGAATGTTCGAACACAAGTCACGTTTGCTGCTAATTTGGGCAGTGGTACAAGACATGACGGAAATGGGACTGCAAATCGAATAACCAAAGACTAGCGTCGAGTATGTGAACCAAGTATGCAAATGTAAGAAAAAGATTGAATAAATAAAAAAGCTAAATAAACAGTTGGAGCACTGTAAGGGAGTCAGTCCGTTTGCTGCAGTGGCCATTCTGACACAGCCATTTGGCAGCGACTCTGGCGCCATGCAAACGTTTTATGACGCAATTAAACGATGACGTATGGAGGACCTTATTTACTTAAAAGTGATCTTATGTTGGCAAGAGGAATCTTTTGCTACACCTTTTTAATCCTTTGAGGAATCTTGGCTAGGTTAGGTTAGCATACTAATGGCTACAAGTGAGCCGATGTAATATATCTGATGTTTGCCTGAGTATCTTCAAGTGTTGAACATTCATGTTTGCGGTGAAATTTTGTAAGGGCTAAGGCAGGCCTAGCTCGTGACGACCACAATGACCTAATCAATTTCCTCCCTGGCGCAATAACTGGGGAGGACACCTCTGATGCCGGGCAGACAAAAAACATCAGGTCATGCCAGACGTCGATAGATACGCGTGCGAGCTAGCATATTCCTGTATTGCACTTCGTCGTTTGCCCCAATTAACATAAGGTACATTGGCTCACTACCGAGATATTATAGAAATGGGGCCAGGAAATAAAAAGCTTCAGAAAAGAAACAATGCGACTGACACCAAAAGAAGTAGGAATAATACAATCACAGTTGCGACAATGCAGGAGAGGAGGAAGCATACGCATATACGCTCACTATCTAAACCACCATCGCAACATCGAAAATACCACCTTGATGTGCGAAACAATGCCACAAGTAAATATTGCAGTCCCTGTCATGCGGGCACATCGCGACCACGCTGTGCGCCACACTTCTACGATGACATCTCCCCTATCAATGACGATATCGATATGATTGATACCTCGTTTGAGATACGGAACGTTTTTTTCCTAGTTTTAAATGTATTAGGCACCCCAAAACAGTTTCGTAGCTATACGTTCCGATGCCGGTAAACAAATCATCCAAGAAGCATCGTTTCAACGTCAACAAATACTGGGCACACCACCCTCCTTGTTCGCGCTAATCACAACGATGATAATGCGTACTGAAACGATGACATACTAGAAATGCCCACAGTAGCCAGCTCCATTCAAGTAAAAAGTACTCAAACTCTGGCGTGGAGATTATGTCCTGATTATTTACTCTCAATGTGATTACGTACAATACAGAGTGGCTAATAACTCTTTTGCCAGGAAAATTATGGGTACAATTTGTTGCGCTATGCAAGCAAGGAGTTACTATCAGTGAAGAGTTCCCACACTGAATATGATCGATCTGCTATGTACCAGGAGGTACTCGGTAATGCGTTAAACATAGGAAACATTTGTGCCTGCCAAAACTCCAATCAACGGCCACAGCTCCAAATCTACTGCCCAAATCTACTGCCCAAATCTACTGCCCAAATATTCCAAACACGCAATGTGAAGTGGACGAGTCTTTCCAGTGAATGTGTTCCTATCAGAGATGCAACATTTTCAAAAATTTGAGCCCGCAGCCATGGTCCGTCTCGGCCAGCTAGGGATCTAGCCCGCATAAGTCCGCTGTGCCGCTATACTGACAAAGCAGCAAATATTGGGCTCAGTGCAATATGAGTTTTGGAATTTTCTCTCTTAATTCTTGATCTATGATGAAATGGACATAAAATATACCAGGAGTGGCATCCTATGCACAACCCTATTTACCCAAAATCAATGGTTGGGATGGTACAGCAACAGCGAAAACACCCGCAGTCTGCTAAAGCACTACATAGCTACATACTTCACACTGTAATGCCATTTTGCAGCTACAAAGGAAGAGGAAGAAAGTGGGATTCCAGTGGGACCCTTTACCAAACTCTACCCTATTTTTCACTTCTGTTCCTCGTTAGATAAACTAAACGGCGGTTTTCTCTAAGGAAGTATGCCGCCTTTTTGTACATTTCACTTACTGTTACATCAGATGCATACGATTTGATCAGTAGCGCCAGTTTTGTTTAAATCCTTTTGAATAGCTGTGAATGTTTATTTTATGTGCCGACCCTGCGGGAAAATCTCCTTTGGTTCCATGCTCACCCTTATCAAAGTAGTACATTTTATTTGCCTTCGTTTTTCAGCGTGTGTGTTCCGTGATGTTTTTAACACACTAATGTGCCAAAATGTTTGCACAGTAAATGCTACAAAAGCTTGAAACACTGTTTAGGCAAAAATATATGCGGATATGAAGCTATTATCCCTCGAATTTAACGGAATGTTATACAGGGTTTTGATTTCTCTCCTACGTTTACCACAATGGCTCTCTTCGATGCGTACTTTGGCTCTGAGAAAGGGAGTATTACATGACCCTTGTGACGCACTGGTTCAAACTTCAACTAGTGCGTTTCTCGGTAACAGGCCCTAGCCCGCTGGGCCGATCACAAACGTTCTTTTACTTGTACCAGTAGAGGTGCGTACGGAGGTTTTCATGACGGCGGTGGCCGCAACTGCAGGGAAGAAGCGTAGTTCTTTTACAAAGCGTTGGTAGCATAATTTGGACTGGAAATAATTAAAATAAATATCCTTATTATGTTTTGACCGTGTTGCAGTGGCACTATTCGGTGCTTTTTTCATACGTTACTTGTCCTGGGGTTTCACTGCAGTATGTTTTTGAAACACACCACATAGGCGGGACACTCCTTTAAGTTGGCTGCATGACACATTGACAAGGAAATGATTGCTTTACTGTAGTTTTGTTGGCATTCACTTCCTGAACTACGTTTATTGACCTCAGAATGACTTTACCTTACGGAACGAGACTCTTAATAGACATTTCTTCAGTTTGTGCCTTGAGTCCACCCCAATTCTAGCATAGTGCCAGCCCTGACAACGATGTGGATCGGTCGAGGGCGTTGGATGCTGACCGCACCGCCTTTGTTTACATGGGTGTCGTGTGGGGCACGGCTGACTCTGATGATCACTTAATTCAAGGGCCATTCATTTTAGATCAACTTGAAGCATGTAAGCGTCGCCAGTACTGCATGTCTATTGACAAGGATGCAGTCAGGATACAGACGTCTGTTTTATCGCGTCTGCATCAGACATGCCACGGAATGCTTTTAGATAGCTTCGAAAACTTTGTAGGATTAGATCTGGCTTGATGACTCCCGTACAAACATGATCTTGCCTACAAAGCACAATTTTATGAACATGTGCATCTTTGTAAATGTGTTTCCAAATTCCTGCAATTTTCTTCCCAACGGAAATCGCCCATAGAAGCCTCTTTGCAAAGTTTTGAACAGCTTGCACCATAATCTGTCATGAAAATGGCTAGTAGTTTGCCTCCGCGCCTAGCAAAATGGCTAGCAATCCGCCCCTATCCATACTTGGCCAGCCCCTACATATGTATCATTCCCCGCCAACACATCCGATCAGTGGCGGATGTACGACATGCGAAATCGATGGGGTGATGTAAATGTGTGATAAAGCGTTGAAGTCTCTCACAAGACTGCTGCAAACACCTCAAACATTGTGACATTTGCCGCAAAACAAGTGCTCATAACGTCGCATCCAGTACTAATTCTTGCAAAAGGATCACGCAAGACAATCATAATTTAGTTTAACATTGATTTAACTAGAAAATATGTTAATGGTTACATGGTTACAAGCTCCCCGCGTTACAAAGTCACGCCACGAACATGTTCGAAAAGGCCGGCATAGGTGAATCCGGCGATGCAGCTTTACGCTAGGAATTCTCTTGTATGGGTCTGGACGGTAAGAATGTCATTGTAACCTATGCTGGATCCCAAGTCACGTGGGGATATGCGGAAATGATCTTGCTGACGCGGCAGCAAAGCGCGCTACGACAGGAACTAGAATTCCTATAACACCACTACCTGCTCAAGACATGTACCCCGCAGTGTCGCTGTTTATGCAGCAACGATGGCAGTTCCACTGGAACTCGCTGAGCGCCAACAAGCTGCAGTCGGTGAAACCCCGCACTGGATTATGGCAGTCGTGCTTTCGGGACAATAGGTTGGAAGAAGATGCCCTTTGCCGGTTACGCATAGGTCACACATGCTACGCACCGTCACCTGCTATTGGCTGGCGACAGACCATGCTGCGGTCGATGCTCTGATCCACTGACCGTGCATCACGTACTGGTCGCTTGCCGCCACCTTACTGCAACGAGAGCGCAGTTTTTCGGACGCCACGTCCAGAGTCGCACGCTATGCGACTTTTTAGGGGATTCTTCGAACATCGTCGAGTTTGGTAAAGTGCTCCAGTTCCTTCGCGCTGTAGATTTCCCTGTAATCTTCTCGTCATGATGCTAGGGCCGATCATCATGGCTCTATAGGGTGACCTGATTGATGCACTTCTCTGATTGACGGCTCTGCATAAATTGATAGTTATGGGCGCTGCATGACCTTCAGCAGTCGATGCGCCCTAAAACCCCAAATCATCATCATCATCATCATCATCATGCTATTGTAACGAATGGATTGTAGCAAAATGTCCCAGTATGAAAGGAGAGGCCCGGGCTGGGTGACCATGCGCTGCTGTCGTTCTGCAGACCCGCTGCGGCGCCTCGCTGGGCCCGGCAGCCATTCGAGACACGGGGGTGCTGGATGAGATCCGCGCCCTCGGTCACAGCGTGCGTGACCTGGGCGACCTGTCTCTGCCCGGCGTGGACTCGGAGTACACCGCCGCCGACGACCGGGCCAAGATGAGGAACGTCACCAGCGTGGGACGCTTCAACCAGCAGGTGAGGTCAGCACCGGACGACCGCACGCCGGCGGCTGTGTCACGTGCCAGGCCTCCGTTCAAAGCTACCTCTCGCTAGGAGGGGACTCTGAAGGTGATACCCGGTGGCAGCACGAGAAATACCTAGTGTACACAATTATATAAATGAAGAACGAGAATACCAAGATGAAAAATCATATCAAATTGGTCATTAATACATTTTTCAGGCTTGTGCCACGTGTTAATTTCACATTGCGTAATAATTGTAAAAACAATGAATGCGCCAAAGGTTTCGCTGGCATCGTAGCCGTCAATTTTTCCGCTTATTCATAAAAAACGAGTTGGAAGGTGGAAGTGTGTTTTCGTGTCCATGTTTCCAGGCCAGCGCGTAAGCGCGTAAACGTAACAAATGGATCGTCTACTGCCGAGTCCCAAAGAAATCGGCCGTACTCCTCAAAGTCATCGCAACAGTCATACTGTCAACAGCCATACTGTTCCAACTGCCTGTTGTATCAGGCAGGTTGAATATCTCTGTTCCCATAGCGATACCGTCTCAAGTCGCGCTGTTCACATGGCACAGCTATCATAAGTCAGACCTCCCCTGATGATCGAGCGGTTACATGCCGACATGCTCTGCTCGTGTCCGCACCACCATGTCCCTTTATGCACGCCAGTTCCGTCCTGCGACGCCTGCGACGCGACTGCTTCCTCGTGGGCACGGCTGCTGATTTCATGCAAGGTTGAGCTGATTCCTTTTGGGCTGGTTTTTGTTTGTCATGTGCAAAGTTGGGTTTATTTCGTTCAGTCTTGTGACACGCCTCTTATTCAGGGTCGGCCTCTTCCCGGTCGGGTTTGTTCAGAGTCGGGCTTCGGGAGGCTGCGGACGGTTTGATTCGCAGCGGTGGTGCTGAGTTATATAACAAATCAGAGGAAACGTCGTCAGCGCGCTCAGAGTCACCTCTCTCACATAAGGGTGAAATTTCGCACCTTGACGGACGCAAGCACAACTATTTTGTGAACATCGTGAACTGCGGACATTATGAAGATCTTTCCACATTCTGCATTCTCATCTCGGACCTCCCCGTACGGTTGTGCACGTTCATGCCCTCGAGGCATTTCATGTTATGTCTTATTTCATCTGATGAACGAATGTCGTAAGCTACAAAAGTTTGTTGCCAGCATGATGTTTAAACACCACTACCTTAGGACATAAAAATGTGTATGCGGGCATGCATGCCAGTGATCCGGTAAATTTTCGACCACATTTTTGTTGTCGATGTCGGAACAAAACAGCAGTTCCTTGGTGGTGGAAAATGCGTGGCGGTGTTCATACGCGTTACTTGAAAAAAGTTTCGTATTTCAAGATATTGAAGCAGGCATCAGATCTGGTGAAATGAGCTCACTTATAGCTATTAACAGACTGTTAAGTGAAAAGGCTGTTTTAGACAACAAAATCATTCTTCTCGGTAAATACGCTCCTTATCGCGTCACTGCTGGATTGCGTCATGGAAGGTCTCCATGTCACTGAGATGCTGCCAGCCTAGCGGTGCGAAATTTCCGCCCTAGCACTAGCTTGAAGTACTTCAAACTGGCCTAGAGATCACAGTGGCGGTAATGGGTGCATTCGCTGAGCCAAATGCCGTTATGTGCTCGTATTTTGGCCGTTTGTCTTGGTGTTCTTGCATATTTGTTCGTGAGTTTAAGTTGCTACTTGTACACACGTACCGGTTATGTCGCTAGTTTTGAATCATTCGATTGCAATGGCGGAAGCGGAACACTCCCACTCCTCCATGTAGAAGCGGAACACTCCCTTTAAATTCACGTGCCCTGTTGTGGTACAGGATGTGACGACTTGTTCTCATGTCGCTGCTCAGCTGTAGAAGTCTCGCTGTTTGCAGCTGTCGGATCGGGTGTCGTCTGCGCTGGCGGAGCATGACGTGGTGGCTCGTGTCGCTGCTCAGCTGTGGTCGTCTCGCTGTTTACAGCTGTCGGATCACGTGTCGTCCGCGCTGGCGAAGCATGACGTGGTGGTGACCTTGGGTGGAGACCACAGCATCGCCATGGGCACCGTGCACGGCCACGGCCGAACCGTGCGCCACGACAAGCTGGCTGTCCTCTGGGTGGACGCGCACGCGGACATCAACACACGTGAGGAGCACGCGCCACTGGGCATGTGCCGGAATAATGTATGACGAAACGGAGCGCAGTAAGAGAATATATATATATATATACATATATATATATATATATATATTATACTGCACATATTATATGAACACATCATATGTGCAGTATGCGTAGAGGGTGCAGATTGCTATGGATGCATGGTCTTTTGCGTGGTTTTAGTTTTTCTCGGATGCGCCATTAGTTGTCACACGTAATGGTCGCTTCCGTCTCGTGCGTACCTCAAATGGTCCTACCGAATGTTTGAACGGCGCCGAAAATGGCATGTCTAAAGAAATACCCATATATACATACATATATATATATATATATATATATATATATATATATATATATATATATATATATATGTAATATCTATGGAAATAACACATCGAGACTTCCAGAACAGCTGCCAGCTTGTTGGCAGCCACCACAGGTGCTGTTATTTTCTCTCGGGTTTCGAAATCATGAGAGCGATGTCTAGAAGAACTATTAGCGCGATCACGGCTGTTAAAGAATGCGATTCAAGTGTATCAGTGCTGTCTAACCTCGGGAAATACGACGGAAATTCCGGGGATTTATTTGTTTCAATACAACTACAGGGGCCGTGGCTATGCTCTGCTAGCCTCTGCCACCGCAGGAGTACCAGCACTTGGTCTGCTTTGCTTCAGCGCTGACGTCCGGTTCTGGCAACTTCCACGGCAAACCGGTGTCATTTCTGCTGCGCGGAATGGAGGCGTTTCACCTAGACCTGCCCGACCTGCGCTGGTGTCGGCCCGTCCTGCTGCCCAGTAAGCTGGTCTACATCGGCCTGCGCGACGTTGACCCTATGGAGCGGGTGGCCATCCAGGAGCTGGGAGTGCGTGCTTACGCTATGCGCGAGCTGGACCGGCTCGGAGTCGATAAGGTTAGTTCAACCAGACATGGGTAACCCATTTCCACACACGGAGTGAAAGTTTCAAAGACAGAAGTACTTGCGGAAATGGTCGTACGCAAATGTAGGATGTAAGTACGCGAAGTTCACGCGCAAATGTTGGTAAATCGAGTCTCGCAGGCGCCAGGGCCGGGAGCGCTAATACGTCCTTCGCAGTCGGTAGCGCTCCATAAAAGCGGTGCACCACACGACACACGTCGCCATCGTGTTGATAAAAAGCATTTGCATGCCAACTGCTATGTTGGAACTTTTGTACACGTATTTCTTCCATGCCAGCCTTATACCAACCGGACATTTGCTTAGAAACGATTGCGCACGGACTTCATGCATACGCACTTTTCCATGCGAACTTCTGTCCTAAAACCGTGTTTAGAGCAGGTCCGCACCAGGACGACAGGGTCTCAGTGTCTGAAGGTCGGGGTACTCCCCAGGTGGTGGAGATGGCCCTGGATCAGCTTGGCGTAGGCGTGGGGGCAGACTCTTCGCTTCACGTCAGCTTCGATATCGACGCGCTGGATCCGTCGGAAGCACCTTCCACGGGCACACCAGGTCGGCAGTTTTCCAGTTTCAGGTCTGATAGGAGCCCCAGCCCGGGCCAGGTCTTGGGCTCACTCAGCTGGCCTGCGCATAGACATGTTACCTTCTGTTTTACGGAAGGATTAAAACGAGGCATTAATATCACGGATGGAATGCTTATTCGGACTGTAGCCCTCTGCTCGTGTGTGACTTACGCAACGTTTCGGCCAGTTAGCTCTCTCCGGTGCCATAAAGTCCTGGCAACACCAAGCAAGTGTTCAGAAGTTCCTGGACCGCATGAACATGTTGCAACCGTCCATCCAGTTCACTTTGGAACGGGAGACAGCAGCCTGCCGTTCCTAGAAGTACCAGTCGAGAGAACCAGCCACAGGTTCAGGACATCAGTGTACCGGAAACCAACGACAACCGGTCGCTACCTGAACTTCCAGTCGCACCACCTGGGAACGGTCAATAAAAGCATCGTGAGATGCTTTTAGCATCACGCAAATGCTATCAACAACGATGACGTTGAAAAGGGAAATAACCACCGAATCTAGACTTGCCGCAGGAAGGAGTACACGTAAGATTCCATAGACCAAAAGCTTAAATAGCATGCTCGACGAGGAGCAGGGAAATGCCGTGCATAGGCTTTACCGTAAGTCGGGTGTTCCCCAGGCTTTGAACGAGGCGTTGACGTCACTGGTGCCGAGACTTCAATGCAGCGCGGCCGCTAGCCGTCGGCCGTAACGCCGGGGAACGGCCGGAACATCACAAATCATCCTGCAGACAATGAACACACTGTTGGCGGGATATTGATATGACCTGCGAGTCGACTACGTCTAATTTAATGACGAGTATGACGATGTGATTTACAAGCCGAATCTATGGCTTGCCGCTAACCGTTAGGTAAAACGCATTGGCATGAGAAGTTGAAACATACACACTAGAACTATACGAGGTAGGACGGCCAGAACACCGGGCTCTCTTCGTATCCATACTGATCGAATTGTTTGCGGCAGGTCCAGCAAGCCAATCGTGTAGTATTTAACGTAAAATATGCTGATATGCCTTGCAAGCTTATGCGGCCAACCATTACCATGACGTCGGCGTTGAAATTGAAAAGGCTTGCGTAACAGCTGCTGTAGACATGAGCAGTCGGAATATCGGACTGCCCTTGTACCGATAAGGAATAAGCTGTAGGAGAAAGATGCATATAAACACGGGCCAAAGGCGTATAGATAAATGGGGAGCACGATGAAGTGCTAACTACGAGTGAAAACGCGCCCGCCCGGACCGCTGATGATAGGCGGCCTGAACATCTGGCCACCTTCTCAGCCATAACAAGCAGATGATAACTGGTAGGCGCGTACATTCGCGAACCACTCAAGTCGATTTAAATGACAAGCATGATGATATGCTTTGCGAGCCGATATTCAGCCAAGCCGTTGAAATTCGATCGGCGTGGGAAGGGAATAAGCATAAGATGGGGCGCACGATTATTAGGGAGAAGGATGGGCACACAACTTCCTGAAAATCTAGTATTGACCCCATGTGGGTAGATTGGAAAAAGCAACCAAAATGGCCATCACATCAGGCCGTCACGTTTTAGTAGTTTGCCGCATAGGCTTGCAGAGCAAATCATGCTCGTTGCAAATTTATCCGTAATGGGCTGGATGATCACATTCACCTTCCGCTTAAGGCCTTTTCATTAACTGAACGCATATTTCGATGTTCCAGCTGCCCTTCAGCATAACGCCAAGCGCTTAGCGGCCCGCCGCGCATTGAAGTCTCGGCACCAGTAACGTCACGCTAAGGTTAAGCGAAGATGAAGCGAAAATCACCGGATGGTTTTACCTCTGTAACACGGCCTTGGACAGGCAGGGCTGCCAATGAAAATAACAGCGGCGGTATAATTCGCATAAAACAAGGGCTTGTCAGAAAAGTTCAGGAGAATCTGTGGACGATACGTCAGGGCAGTCATCAGAGCTAGCTCAACGTTCCTGAGTGGACTTACCAAAGTCAGACCACTGACATCTAAGAAACGCACGAAAAACCGCAGATACAGCATACCGTGCAGCTGTGGCAGGTCTTACAAAGGAGAGAAATCACCCTCTGTCGGTCAGGCTGGAGGAGCATACATGGTCAGACGGTGATCACCGACCAGCGTGTGATAAGGTAGCCATCGTTGACACAGAGCAGCACTGGAAAGTCAGAAAGGTGAAGGAGGCAGCACAGTGGGCATTGACCAACAGCCCCATGGGTAAGGCAAGTATACACGTCAACTCAATATGGTATGACGACCAATGGAGCCACGACCAATATCGACCAATATTAATATGGTCGGACCAAACGACCATTGATATTGGTCGACCAATGACGACCAATATCAATATGGTCGGACCAAACGACCATCCGGAAGTGGAATGGTATGAAATTCGAGCACCTAAATAATTCTTCTGCCGGCTAGCTCACTGAACTTGCAATGAAGAATATCCCGATTCAAATCCCAGTAATTCCAAAAGATAAGGCATAAACCGGACGACGAGGTAGAACAATCAATTCAATAAAAATTCCAACCAATTCAACAATCAACATCCCATCCGTGATACATTACCTTCTGCTTAAATTAGTTGGAAAACGTCGACCTTAGTGGTGTGTTGAGCAAGTATTTTGGTGGTGCTGGTACCAAGCCTCAAAGCTTTGGTACCAACTATACCTTTCATACTCGTGGAACTTCGAGTGAGCATGGTCCGTTAACTCGCGCCTACGATATTGCACCCGTTTTGTTTGGCTTTGTTTTTGTTCTGAGCTATTCATGTGAAGCACTTGAACATTCTTAGGCGCATAATGTCATTCTCTATGTTGGCTCACCCCTCGCGACTGAACCGTGGGCGTGCATTATGTGTGGTGTCAGTCGCAGTGACAAAATGTGTGATGTTCAGCCGCAGTGACAAAATGTGTGGTGTTCAGGCGCAGTGACAAAATGTGTGGTGTTCAGTCGCAGTGACAAAATGTGTGGTGTTCAGTCGCAGTGACAAAATGTGTGGTGTTCAGTCGCGGTGACAAAATGTGTGGTGTTCGGTCGCAGTGACAAAATGTGTGGTGTTCAGCCGCAGTGACAACATGTGTGGTGTTCAGCCGCAGTGACCAAATGTGTGGTGTTCAGCCGCAGTGACAAAATCAATCGTCGCCATGCTGTCTTCCGGGTTGCAGTGCGCGGCGGCCTCAGCCTTCGTGAGGGCCAGATGGTGATGGAGGAAGTGTGCAAGTGGGGCACACTACGCTCCATGGACCTGGTGGAGGTGAACCCGCAACTGGGCAGCAGCCAGCAGGCTCTGTACACGGCCGACGCCGCCCGTCACTTGCTACTCTCCACCTTCGGACGCTACCGCGGCGGCAACGCTCCCGAGGGCTCGCAACTGCCGCGGCCGGAGATCCTGCCAGACCCTCGACCCAACCGTTAAACCGACCCCCCCCCCCCCCCCCCCGTCCGTCCGTCCCACGCACGATCTGGTCACTGTAACGGCGCATCGCCCGAACCGGTGCTCACATACTCATCGCAGTCCGGTCAACTAATACACTGAAATGAATATCCCTGGACATTGTTAATACATAGGTCTGGGTATGTCATTTAATCGTTTTTATTGGATTCAGTGTATTCAATCAAAACAAACATCCCCGCCAACGTATGTGTGTGCGCGCACGTTATTCGTAATGTATGGACGACTTGGAAGTGCATGCGAGAGGTAAGGACAGTGGGCGAATAAACGGTCCGGCCGGTGGGACGGCGGGCAGTCCGGCCGGTGGGACGGCGGCAGTCCGCCCGTTGGGACGGCGGCAGTCCGGCCGTTGGGACGGCGGGCAGTCAAGCCGGTGGGATGGTGGGCAGTCCGACCGGTGGGACGGCGGGCAGTCCGGCCGTTGGGACGGCGGCAGTCCGGCCGTTAGGACGGCGGGCAGTCCGGCCGGTGGGACGGCGGGCTGTCCGGCCGGTGGGACGGCGGGCAGTCCGGCCGGTGGGACGGCGGGCAGTCAAGCCGGTGGGACGGCGGGCAGTCCGGCCGGTGGGACGGCGGGCAGTCAAGCCGGTGGGACGGCGGGCAGTCAAGCCGGTGGGACGGCGGGCAGTCAAGCCGGTGGGACGGCGGCAGTCCGCCCGTTGGGACGGCGGGCAGTCAAGCCGGTGGGACGGTGGGCAGTCCGACCGGTGGGCAGCCCGACCGGTGGGACGGCGGGCAGTCCGGCCGGTGGGACGGCGGGCAATCCGTCCGGCCGGTGGGACGGCGGGCAATCCGGCCGGTGGGACGGCAGGCAGTACGGCCGGCAAGCAGTCCAGCTTTAACTGCGCGCCCCAGAGCTGAAGTGAGTGTCATCAACGGCGGATAGAAAAGGACGTTGGAGCATCTATATTTTTCTATTTTATTGTTGTTGTTGAAATGCTGAGGACAAAACTGCCTCAAAGTGAAGCATGCGAACACATTGGCTTCCTGAGCCGCGATGCAAGGCATCTAGACGTGACAACGAACCTGCAGGCATGTTTTACTTCAAATACTGAACATGAACCTACCATAATATATTACCAGACACACAAGTATACTCACAGCGCATACATTTAACTTGCGGGACCCCGCAGGGCTTTCTCATTATACGCATTGCCTTCCTAGCGATAACCAACGGTGCCTCTGTTGGAACAGAACAAAGTTTGAAATATGTAAACCATCCCACAGCAAACCACTCGTATTCAAGCGACGGAGTGGAGGAGTGTAGCCAGTTACAAGCAGAACCGACCAGATACCTGAATGGGCAGCTGCAAATAACATAGTGCTTAATATTGAGGAGTGTCAGGCCGTGCATTGCTTCACTGCCAAGAAAATACTGGTCCTTTCGGGCACCGTGATGAATGAGATCAGCTTACCCAGTTTTAACACGCGCTTGGGTGCGGGCCATATGAACCCCCCGAAAGTTTTTCCAGAATGGTCTCCAAACGGCGCGGCGTAGCTGCGCCAACTTTTGAATAGCTGCAGACAGTTGAATGACCGATCCTTTGGTATTAAGAATCTATATGTATCGTGCAAGGTCACTGACCTACGGCAGGTCAGGCGGGTCGTGGTTCGCAAAGTCAATTTCCAGGGAACCGTCCAATCTGATGCGAAAGCAGAGTAGATCTTCTTTGTCAACATAACACTTGAATGCACAAATTTCGCTGACCTAAGGTAAGTTTTGAAGGTCAGACCAAGCTAAAACCAAGCTGTTTTATTACTCTAGGGCTTCTTGTATGAGGTACTTCAGGTGCTCATTTTGAATTTATTGATAACAGGAACCGCATGATAAATTTTTCATGGACTTCTAAAAGGTCAGAATAGGTCATTGACCTAAAATGACCCAGGTCAAAACTACATTTTTTGAAACATATTGCTCAGCGTAAGCTTTGCCGCTTATTCAAATGCAAAACTCAAGACAATCTTGTATGACTTTGGTCAACATGGCCTTCGTTGGGTCAAACAAGGTCACTGACCTCCAGTGAGCATGTGACTTTTTCCTTAAAACAGGTATCTAGGTTCTGGGGTCACTTTGGAGGCTAACTTGGAGATTGACCCGTTTGACGTCACTTGGCCCGAAGGTCATGACCTAGTAACCTGAAACTTTGACCTAAGGGAGTTCAGATCCAGGCCAACACACCCTGTAAACTTGGTGTCTCTAGCTCTCTTAATTCCTGAATCTCAGGGGGTCAAATTGAGGTCCCACCCGAGCGAAGTGCATCCAACTGACCACCCTGTCGCGTGTTAACGGAGCAAAACTTTTCATGGTAATCCAGCGAGTCACGGCAGGCACATGTGGATGACGTCTTGAAAAAGTCATGAGGCTCGATGTATGCCCTATGTTATGAAAAACTGCCGAGGTAAGCACCAAATCTGTTCTACCAGTGCATCAATACTTCGATATCGTTTTTCATGCGGGGCTCACCGCCCATCGAGCCAAACAAATTGAGCGAGTGCAAAAGCTGACCCTCGAAATCAATCCCGGGTCTGACATGGAAAATCAGCGGCGTATAACAGCAAGTGCAACGCCGACAGACGAGTGAAGTTCTGCTAATTTTGAAAGGAAAATCCTGGATCTATAGGGCTTGAAGAGCAGCTCCCGTCACCAAGAGTGACGATATCGGGTAGAAGCACAAGAAGTGGTGCGTTCTCAGGACGTTTGGCTGTGGCGCAAGACAATGCATATTTTACGTATAGTGTTCCACATTCGGATGGCCTTTGAACTAAGACAGCCCTTTGAAGATACCTCGGTACGATTCACAACCCAGCCCTTGTTAAGACTTGGAACTCTCTGGTTTCTGAGATTGACGCCAGCGAACTAATGCACATTATTTTCATGCACCCAGGCATGCATGGCACCAAATACACGTCACGTGGATGCTGGCACCTAATTAGCCACGTAGCGCTCAAGGTCACGCAAAGCATCGCCATCGACCCATTCATGTAGGAGGTGGGTCAGCACGATTTACGGTATGAAAGGACTTCAGTTGGTCATCAACGGGTGTAATGCAGTTTTGCTTAGAGCAGTTTTAGAGCACGACTCACGTTTTGAGCAATGTAATGCAGGAAATTGAACAGTGGTTTGCGTTGTGACCGGCAGAGGACTGTGAAGCGGATTATCTAAGAATAGCGCCATACGCGAGCCGGTGAATGTTGGTAAACAATAAAAAGGCAAAAAAAGATTAAACTGAAGACTCCACTAGAAATTAAAAAAACACGAGCCCCCGACGATATTCGGTTCCGCAAAGATGCTCAGGCGACATATCCACCTCTCGGCAAGTCGAAGTACTATAAGTGAGTTAACCCGTCCGATACAGCGGCAATTCTGACACGGCCCATCTGGCAGACATTCATTCCACAAAGATGCCACATGACGTGATAAATGCCGTATTGAACAAGGCATTTACTAAACGCTGAAATTGTGCTGTGTAGATAAGTGTTTAACACCTAAAGGCAAACCAATAGTTACAGGCGAGCTTGTTGCATCACATGTCGTGCTTACCTAAAGATCTTCAAATATGGAACACTTCCTTTAAAGGGAATATTTCACATATGGAAGTCTTAAAGCAAGCAGCGCATATAAAATAAGCCCCCTCACAAGTTTAGGTATACTTCTGAGTGGAAAAGACTGCTCTAAACAACATAACTTCTCTTCTTAGCAAATACGCTTCCTAATACGTCATTATTTGATTACGTCATCGTGCTAGCACAACACTGATCGAGAGCCAATTGACGACCATTACATCTGGAAGTCGTGTTCACGTTCGCCAGATGTAAACGACATAACTATTATTGTTCATAACTTGCATAGCTTGCGCAACATTGGTTGAGAGCCAATTGACGGCCGTTGTATCCGGAAATCGTGCCCACCAACGCCAGACAGGAGCGTTTCTATGATTACACTTTTCTTGAACTTGAAAGCTGCATGGCCAATGAAATGGCAAGATTCTAATGAAATTATTTTTATTTGTTAACGTTTTTATGTAGATCAGTAGTTCAGATATTTCCTTGGGTGGGCTTAGCGATTTTACCAGTTTTCTCCCGTCCCCAGTCAGTAGTTTTAGGTGAGCGACGATGGAGCCCACGCATTGTGTCCGTACTATTTGGTTACACCGATTTCCTCGAAAGCACTTCCGTAACCAACAGATCATACTTAAGAGTCTGGCTTTAACTCCATCTGCGTACCATCGTGGCCAGTCAAGCTGTGTCATAATGCCTGACATTTCCTCGGTACAGCATGTCTAAACAGGGAGCAAAGTTTCATAAGAGTGAAACTGAATGTCTGGCGTATTGTAGTTAGTCACGCCAAGATAAATACCAGTTAAACGTCGACCTACCAATCTGTATTCGCAAAAACACCAAACAAAATTTCCACAGAAATACGAATCTCTTTAGTCACTGAATTAGAACAAAACTGACACACTGACGCTGTAGCTACACAGGGCGCAACATAGGTAACAACACGCTTCGTCCGCAGATCCTGACTTTCGTCAATAAATCCCAAATCCCGCGAGACGCATATCCTACGTTCGCACATACGCAGGCAGTACATCGCGGAATGAACTACTGGTGAAACAATGTGGTGACCCCAGGCAATGCCCCACCGTTGGAAGGGTTAAAGCACTGCATTACCGCGCACACGTGGCAGGAAGCCCGAGATGAGTCCGGATCTTAGGCCAGTAAGGATATTTCACTTGAACATCTCGAAATCCATCTACGTACAAATATCACCTGCTCTGCCTGTCTGTTTAATGACTATTGCTCTTGGCTCTCCAAAAAAGCTAACACTTGTCTTTTGAAATGCTTTCGAGCAGTCCCATGATTCGCGCTGAACTCTGGGAGACTCGTACTCTCGGCAGTTTGCAGCGTGCGTTACTCACGGATAGTCTAGTGGGACAGGCTGCTGTCGCACCAGAAGCGCCGCAATGTTGTGAAGCACGAGGTAATCCGCCGCAGCTAATAGAGGGCATTCAACATCTTGAAACGTACGCTATCTAGCGCAACGCGTTCTCCAATCCTTCCAACCATTGCGACAAGCATATCGGCCAGCCGTCTGATCAGACCGGGCATTCAGTCCCAATCTCTGGCCTGACCGGGCCGCCGAATATCGGTTCCTGGGGTACGCCCATCGCGCTCCGGCTGCCGCGCATCCCCGCGCCGCGGTGTCCGGCACCCAGCAGTGCCCGGTGGTGGCCCTCTCCGCTCTGGCAGCTAATCAGAGAGGCTGAGCAGCAGGGCGGTGGCGCGGCGGATCCAGTGGTCGGCGGGGGACTCGCCGCGGTGTCCGGCACCCAGCAGTGCCCGGTGGTGGCCCTCTCCGCTCTGGCAGCTAATCAGAGAGGCTGAGCAGCAGGGCGGTGGCGCGGCGGATCCAGTGGTCGGCGGGGGACTCGCTGCGGTGCCCGGCGCCCAGCAGTGCCCGGTGGTGGCCCTCTCCGCTCTGGCAGCTAGTCAGAGAGGCTGAGCAGCAGGGCAGTGGCGCGGCGGATCCAGTGGTCGGCAGGCGACTCGCCGCAGCGCAGCTCCACAGCCACCACGAACGATGGGTAGTTGCCGGTGCCTGACCGGTTGGGGTAGTAGTAGGAGGGACACACGTACAGACCTGCGAGACGCGACAGCGGGCGTCAGCAATGGTGTGTAGCGCGAAGGCTGCGGTTCAGCGGACGCGCTCTTACCCAACGCGAGCCGACATAGTACAGAAGGCGCGAGAGCTCTAAGATCCAGCGTCCTCAAGGAATCGATGTGTAAGAAAACTATGGATCGGTCCTCCGAAAGCGTTCTTTAAGCCCTGGACGTTTGAAAACATCTGACGACCTTGAGCTGGAGCGAGATCTGGGGCACAGACTTAATGTAAATTGTACTACAACCATAGCAATGCAAGAGTCTGACCAGTCCAGACTATACCTTTGCCGCTCTTTTTCTTGTTCTCCATGGGCTTAAAGTGGATGACGGGCATGGGGGTAACGAGCTGCATAGGAGCAGCCTCCACCAGCGAGCGGCCGTTGATGTCCCATCCGGCACCTTCCAGGTACATGCCGCAGATGTACACGCCCTCCTGATCCGCAGAATACACGGAGAAACGTCAAAAACACCACACTTACAGGCCTGCAGGACGACCTGCCACACGTGTACTGACATGAAACTGAGAAGAATACACAAAAGTGGCGCAGATGCTTTTCATGGTCAGAGGTGACGTGACGCTTAAGACGCAACGGAAGTGGACTGGTCGTTTTCTAGTCAAGTCACTTTCGGCGGGTGCCGAAGGCACGGCTCAAACACACAGTATGCCACCCTGATAAAGGCATCCCTTTGAAGATGAGAAAGGAAGGTTTACTGAGAGGCATGAGCAAGAGTTACTCGCAAGTTCTGTCCTCTCGCGGGGCACGGTGATTAGAGACCAGCGGTCCCTAGCCACCTTGGCCACCGCACCCACACCAGACCCATGCCGTCGTCCATCCGACGTACATGGGGCTGCAGAGGACTGACGGAGTCATTCTGATTGTTCACGTGGAAGTCCCAGGCGAGCGAGTCGACGCTGAGGTGAAGGTGACGGGCAGCCGTCTGCAGCACAGCCGTCAGGAAGCCGGTCGGGAAGCTGAAGGCGGCCAGCCAAAAGGCCTGCGGCGGCCGAGCACGCTCCGACCAGCCGGCGAACTGCTCGACCCGCTGCACCAGGTCCCGCGTCCACGAGCCGAGCGGCTTCAGAGACGGGTACGCTGCAACACGGACCGGTCCGGTCACCGCACGGGCAGCCGGGGGCTTCAGCTTCGTCACCTCGTGTCCTTCGGCCTCGTCAGCCTCGTGCAGGGTCACCCACAGCCTTGGTCGCACCCCCCGGTGACATGTACTCCTGAATACCTGCTAAATGTGTGACAAACATAAAGCACACTTTCTGAAATCCCACCACACCGTAACAACTCACATGATTTTTTTCGAAAGCCGCAAATGTTTTGTCAAGCGTGGCTTTCGTGGTTTGCCGGTATAATATTATTTCTCATTTGCCGGGTTCAATATCGACATACTTTCCTGATGCAATACTATGTAGTTCGGATGTTCATAGTATGGAACAGACGTGGTGCGAGCCGGCTCCTGCCAGTGGCGCTGAAACGTCACGCTACAGCAGGGAGGGAACAGGAGGGGACACATACCTGACCACCGTCAGTGCTGCACTTACCGCACTAACATTTCATGTGACATTCATGGGACATCATAAAGTGCTTTTAACCCTCTCCTGATCATAACTGAGTTCCCTTATGTCAGTCTGGGCCATTTGTTGGGCCCACGGGCCAATGGGGGTCCTCGGGTTGACCACGAGTTGAGGCACGAACCTGACAGGGGTCCTTGCTGGCAAGGGGTCCAAGTCGACCTGGGTAGTGTTCGAAGGGGCCCAAATATGAGCCCTAAAGACCCTTCGAGATCGACGATCAAATGCCGGATCGGAAGGCTGAAGGGTTCAAAGGGCTGAGACAAGGAGCAAAGGCAAAAGGTGACTTCGGGTGTCAAAAGCAGTGCCTCTTTAAACCGGTTACAGACCCCTGGGAAAACACGGGGCCATATTTCAGCCAGAGGCCAGCAACACCGAGCAGCCAGCCCCGATGACGAACCCATGTGCCGGTCAACGGTCCTCAAACCCATGTGCCGGTCAACGGTCCTCAAAACTCAACAGGGGGGGGGGGTATGCTGGCAATTCACGTGACAAAATCTGACCTTATAAATCATTGAGTTGAACATGTCCATTTACCTCTACATTTACATTAGTTTTATTGGAAATTTTTGGTCAAAGTAAAGCGCAATTTTGACCAAACATAGAAATCAACAGATGATTAGAATTCACCACGGCCTAGAACGTGTCAAGGGCTACCTCTCCGTGAAGCCAATATTAGTCTATATGTCTTGGTCGTCGAGCTGGAGAACGCCACACAGTCGAGCATTTACCCGAATAAAACCCGTTTCGCTGCAAGTACAGATCTTTTCTCGACTCAGGCAACAATATTTGAAGGTGTAACATACAAAGTTTTTTGTGGCGATGAACGAAAAAGCCGCAGCTTTCGTCAATGCATACTGATCAAAAAGTGTGCTTTAAAAAATTTCAAAACACGTGTATCACAAAGAATATTCTGAACGTATTTCATGCAACGTAAAAACTCAAGCTGCATCGCATTCAGCGCATCAAATCGTACTTTGGCTTACCGGCATGCATGATGCATATGCTTCGAAATCTGGTATGAATGACATAGATAGAATCTCACAGTCGTATTCAGAAAAAAAACGGATAACATCTTTCCACCTTAGTCATTTTTGGCTCCTTGTAAGACCTCGAACCCCCATTTTGTCAGAAAATCTGAGCCGGGCCTCAAATTTGCGAATTTTTAACTCAACCAAATGATACTTCAGAGGGTAGCCGTATTGTTTGGCTATCACCACGATTTGTCATTATAGGCTAGGGTCCGAGAGGACTACGCAGTGTCTCTCTAAGCCCACCTAATTCTGAGAGGATAGAACGTCTCCTCATAAGTTAATTCTAGGATGCAATCAACTCACTTAATTCCGAGGGTAGGATAGCATTTCCCCATTAGCAAATAAGTAACAGTTCAAGGTCAGGGGCTTTTGCTGGGATGTCCGCCACAAGCCGTTCCAGGATTTATGCGCCACGTTGGTGTTGCACTTATCCTGTCAAAGTTCAGCCAGTCTTCGCGCTGCACTGCAACAGGTGCAGCGTTTGCTGGGACCATCCTCAGCGCCTATGGCTAAGGCTTGCACCAACCATTCCCCTTTCCTACGACAATGCGGCACGGGAACGGACGGCGCCGCACGGGACCTGACCGTGGAACGGGACCGGGCGCAGCCGAATGGAACTGGGCGGGACTAAAAAGTTTAAGACAGGACAGGACGGAGCCGAGTGGAAGTAGACACGACCGGATGGAGCGGAACGGGAGTAGACCACACAAGCCTTGACCGGACGGGACCAGACGACACTGGACAGGACCGGATAAAACCAGCCGAAGTCATACGGGACCAGATGGGACTATACGGAGCCAGATGGGTACCAGATGAGCCCGCTCTGGTCACAAAAGGTCCCGTTCTGAGTCTTCGGTACCATTCTGTCCCGTCCGGTTCCTTTTGGTCACATCACTTGTCGTCCGATCCCGCCCCAATTGCGTCAGGTCCTGTCTGGTCCTGTCGGCATCCGTCGAGTCCTTCCCACTCAGGTCGCATTCAGTGTCATCCATTGCGATTAGGTCTTGCCCAGTTGCATCCAATACCTTCCAGCCCAGTTGTCTCACCTAGCTCCATTAGGTCCCGTCTGGACTCATCACACTTCATCCTGCTCTGTGTGGGCCCATTCTGTAACGCCCGGCTTCATTCGATCACGCACGGCGTCGTTCGACACTGCCTGATCCCGTCCGTTCTCGTCTGGTTCTGTCTGGTCTCGCCCGGTCCCGTACGGTCCCATACGGCCTGGTCAGGTGTCTTCTTGGTCAATGTGGTCCCGTCTGGTCCAGTCATGTCCGGTCTCACATAATTTGGTCTGTTCCCGCCCTTTTCCGTCTTCCTTCTTGACGTTACATCTGGTTCTGTCTGGTCCGGTCCGATTCTGTGGAACTGAGTGTGGTACCGTTCCGCACCACCCGATTCCTTTGGGCCTCTTTTGATGTTGCCCGATCCTGTCTGATCCTGTCCGGTCACGTCTGGTCCCGTTTGGTTTGGTCCGGTCCCATTCGTTCCCATCCGGTCCGGTCCGGTCCAGTGCCGTCCGGTTCTATCCCATTCAGTCCCGTCTGACCCCACCACGTTCTATTCGGTTCCACCTGGTCCCGCTCCGTCTCGTCCGGCTCCTGTCATTCACGCATGGTGTCCTCCAACCCCGTCTGGTTATGCCTGGTCCCGTCTGGTCCTATCTAAATCTGCACTGTCCGCCCGGTCCTGTCTTGTCCAGCCGGTCCCGTCTTGTCCAGCCGGTCTCATCTGGTCTGGTCGTGTCCCGTCGGGTCCCGCCCGGCCCGGTCTATATGCTGTCCTTGTACTATCTAGCCAGCTGGTTGCCATACGGCCTCATGTCATATTCATCTCAGACTTCTGGCAAAGTGAGCTATGAGTCTATTCCTGCAGCACATAGTCCTCATTCATAACTTGCCTTCCGCCAGGTAGTGACCGCATTGTGATAGGAAGCGCCTAGGTGCCATCATTGATTTGCCGGGCTTAAACGCGCCAACTATCACCAGCAACCAGCTTCACAAGAGGAGAATGGCGTACAATTACAACTTCCCAAGCTTTCACTTCGAATCCGGTTGCATAAAGTAAGGAGTCCCTTTGCTCTCCTACGTCCCTAAAATTATACTATTTACGAGGAAAATCCAAGGAGACACTCCGTACTTCACGAAGCACCCATCGATATTGGTAAACGCACCCGATTTGACCACGGAGTAGACATTCGCGTCAAGACCGAAGTAAAATAAAAAGATGCTCTGGCCCGTCATACAATCAGCTGTGGTGGACGTAGAGGAATCGGCGCATGACCATGCCGAAGCGGAGGAGCAAACCAATTTCGACCGAGAATCAACCAACCGAGCTAAAATGACCGAACCCAACATTTTTTTTTTTTAGAAACATGCTGCCTAGCGTAATCTTTGTCGCTTACCCAAATGTAAAACTGAAGGCAGTCTTGTGCGATTTCGGTCACCATGACCTCCGAAAGGTCAAGCAAGGTCGACGACCTTAAATGAACATGCGGCCTTTTGTCTAGAACGGGTGCCTGGGTTCTGGGGCACTTTGGACACTTATCTGGATTTTGACCTAGTTTGACCTTATCTGACCCAAAATTCATGACCTAGGAACCTCAAAACGTGACTCAAGTTTACGCACAGCCAACACACCCTGCGAATTGGGTGCTTCTAGCTCCCTTAGTTTCTGAGATCTCGGGGAGGTCAAATTGACAAATTGACCCCAGCGAAGGGCATCCAACCGACTACCCGGTCGCGTGCTAAACTCATTACACAGGGATGTGCCCAAACTTCTTCCCAGTCTAGCTACAGTTCAGCTCTAAGAACGCAACACGTTGTGTGACGAGCAATGTTTTGGACAGCAGGGTGATGATCTTTTCGTTGGCGTGCTTCATGTTCGCTGCACAGTTGTGCGTCAGTCCAACAAGTGGTGCTGGCGCGCAACAGAAGACCCAGTCTCTGAACATTGCATAAAACAACGCAAACACGGGCGCTAAAACTTCGGCATGGCCAGCGCTCGCTCACAAAATCTCACACGCCACTTTTGCCGTCTCACGTCACAGGCGTCTCACCGCGGCGTCTCACCAACGTCCGGCCTGTTGTGCTATGGAACGATGCGTTCTTATTTCGGAAAATACATCCTTACACAACCAGCTAACACCGGACGGTCACGCATGGCCAGCGCAGTGTCGCAGTACTCCTCACAAACAGCAAAGCCGATTCGCACCTACAACCATCACAATAATTCTTAATGCCCGATGCACTCAGAAACTAATGCTGAACTGGAGCCAGGTAAACATGAGCATGGTGTACATAACCTAATGTGCTGATACACTTCCAAGCTTGCGGATACATAATAACTTGCTGATACATGTGCATGTTGCCGGCCCATGCTGTGCGGTGGTTCTCTGAACTCCGTGCTTTAGTACTGGTTCATTCTATGCAGCGGTCTGGGTCGCGTCGCCGTCTCACCGCTGGGCCGGCGACCGTCACGC